ACTTGGGGCCTCATTAAGATATACCTGAAATTTCTGTTGAAAATTTAATAAAATTCGCGCATCGTAAGTGATGCGATCTCTAAAAATAAGACTCAGATCTGGTATCGCAATGGACCTTAATGGTCTATGCGTGGTCTTTTTGGTCTGCCAGCATAATCTAATACCTAATACATTTAATTGAAGAAATTATATAGAATATATTTATAAATTTAACTATAATTAGAAATAGGGTAAATGAGTTAATATGACCACAGAATATTCCAGTTCGGTCTATCGCACTCAATTCCTACCCTTACGTTCTCGTCGTGCACCCGGAGAGATGTAAAGTAACCAATTCGTATCCATCATTAAATACAAATATATGGATTGTTATCGCAATTGTTGTAATGTTCGTAGTATTAATATTATTATTAACTATCAATAATTGCAGCATCAAATTAACAAGCATAAAGTCAACGAATTAATGTCATATATTTTCATAATCATATATTATCTACCAATGATAATGTTGACCAGAACATAAATTTTCGAGAAATCTCTCTTATATATAAAAGAGAATTTTGATCCATGGTGCCATATATGAAACAATATCGGTTTGTTAGGCCACCTTAAAGAAAATGTACCAAAAATCAAGTGAACGAACAACATCCCTTTGAGAAAGTGCGATTCCCCTATTCAAGTACAAAAGGAACCAATCTATTTGATCATGTTCGTATATTTAAACGACGACAGTACTGTATGGTCAATTAAAAAAGAGACCTTAAAGATTTTGCATCTTCTTTTACCCAATGATAGACACTTTCACAAGAGATGGTACAGTATTCTTCTCACCCACAGCGCCGCAACACCAACAAAAGCATCGGTACTGTAATACTGCGTTGGTTCTGCTTTAGCTGAAACAGCCAACTAGTACGTTTCTTAGTGAAATCATACATTTTCTTGTAAGTCTTGTAGCCTGACAAGAATTTTCATATGTCCAGATGTATTTAGCTATATCTAAATATTTTGATGGCCAGCTGAGCCATTACGAGTGGGATAAGAATATCAGGGAAGTAATTTTTAACAGACTGGTACGCATTTTATGCAATTTGAGTCAACTAAGTCTTGTAATCTGACTAGAATCTCAATCTGCTCAGGATTTATTTACTAACCCCTGGTATTTACGTTTTATTGCCAATTTAACCGTTGCAAGAGAATGCCAGTATCAGGGAATCAACCGTAGGTACTAGAAAAAAAGAAAAAAATAACCTTGAAAAAGTGTAGATGATATCAATGTTGGATAAGATAAGGTTATCTAAGATAGGATTATCTAGAATATAACACATTATCTAAAAGCTTTTTAGTATAACCCTTAACAAAACAGGATCTTCATATGCGCTATAGACAAACTGAGCTCTTATATTACAAAAAAAGTTTTACGGAATCAAGAAAAAAAAAAGAAATTTTTGTGTATATAGGAAAAAGGAGTAAAATTTGTGAAAGCGAAAAATTTGTAACCGTAAATCTTTTGTAATGTAACCGAAATAAGGAAAAAGATTGAAACTGAAGTCGTTTGTTGCTTATTTGGCAGACGCAATTTGAGAAAGGATTTCAGAATCGTTGCCAACTCGCACTGCACCCTCGGAGTTGGAAGTCATTGTACTTTATGTGCATTTATGTACGTTCATGACTTCTGTGGTGGACGAACTGATGTTTCTGCCCTTTTAAAATAAAAATATTAAACAGAAGAGAAAACGCAAGAACGCATTAAAAGCATCCGAAGTGGTTAACGAGTGGCATTCAAAATGAAATGATTACTTCTCCAACTCACAGACCAACCAGCACATGTAGGTTTGGTGCGGAAATGAAATTTAATTTTTATTTACTTTATAGGATTTTTTTAAAGCTATTTCTATTTATTAAGCGTTATTAAATCTGAAAGAATAAGAAGAGTAAATGTTAATTAGTTTTGCCTAAAATACAATTAATTTTTTATGTTTGAAATTGCAGATAAATGAAATAGGTCCCTGAAGGATGTACTCGTGTGTGATATTTGGTATTTCCTTTTAAGGATATACATTGCATGTACTATTACGGTGCCGACTTAGATGTTTCTGGATTTTACATTTGTCATCTTAAGTCTGTCACTTTCTGATATTTGACAAGAAGAAAATACTTTGAGATGTGCAATATTCCGTAGGAAATAATATGATAGCATTAAGAAGAAGTCACATTTTTTATGACTGACACCAGTGTGTACGGAGGACTCAAAAGAATGTATAGGACAGTGAAAAAGTGGAAAAAGTATGAACAATTGTGAATTTTATAATGTAAACTTTACTTCACCAGATCCTGTGACTTGAGCTAAACTATGGGGAATTCATTTTGAAATTCAAGTATCATTTAACATTTATTAAATAGAAAAAATTGCAAAAAATACACTGTGGTACGAAGTATTAGTTTACTACTATGGAAAATTTGTACTGCTTAAACATCCTTTCAATTTTGTAAGAATTATTGCAAAAAAAAGCGACATTCGACGACATTCTGTTGGTTTAACTATGAAATATCATGGATTTGAAGCGGTTAGCTGCATTTTATATTTTATATATAAAAGTATCTTAAGAAATTGTTGATGAGTTTTCTGTTTTTAGCACACGTTCTTAAAGTGCTCTTAGTAGGTACTTTGACAGTTGTAAATTTCTATATATCATTTGTGTCTTACTGAGCACTGACAACGTGTAAAAGTGAAATATGGAAGCTTATTGACTGGTCAGCAGGCTTTCATTTGTTTCTAATATTAAAGGTTTACTTGTCGTCTTAAAACCACATTTTTTGTAAGAAAATACAATAGATATAAATAGACTTATTGTGTTAACTGTACTTATTTTATCGAATCCCGGTAAACAATACGGAAGTGAAAAATGTACTTACCTAAAACCTTTTGGTAAACAAATAACTATTCTTCCAGCATACCATCATGAATGTGTCCACATTGAAGAAATTTTTGGTGCTAAATAATAATATAATAATTATAATAATATAATAATAATAATAATATAATAATAATATTAATATAGTAATAATAAAATTATAATCAAAATAATATAATAATAATAATAAAATAAAATGTAACTTAATAAAATTATAATAATAATAATATTATAATAATAATAATAAAATAATAATATATGTCAGTTATAAAAATATGTGTCATTTACAATAAACACATTATCATTTTCAAAGCTGTGGACAAAATCATGATAGACTAATTCTATCCATAGACTTCCTAATTAAAACGTATTAAATATTAGTAGAATGTCATTAATTTTAAAATAAATAGCTCTAATTAAGTTAACTAAAGCTAATTTATATCTCAATTGTGAGAAAAATCATAAAAGTAAAAGAACACACATTTACGAAAAATATGTATTCTTGTGTACACATATATACACATATATATATTTTTATATATATGTATAAGAATGCTCCTTTACATATTCAAGAAATGTATGCTATCAATATAAAGTTAATTTCATGCCTGAAAAAATTTCATTGAGGCATCCTTAATCATAATTAAAAGTATCATTCTACTGCTTTCATATTCATTTTGAATAGCAGAAACCTCATAATTTCTACATTATTAACATGTGTCCATCACCTTACAATATGTAATAATTATGAGCCATCAACCTCATTAATTATAATTAATTAACTTTCAATGCTTTTACAAAGCCATAATTTGGCTCATTAACAATGTAAACATATCAAGGCGTTGTAAGAAAAGGATATACGTTCATTCTTCAAGAATACTATATAATTTATATTTCAGTTGAACAATTTGTTGCGAAAAAATAACTTAATAATTATTGCTTTGAGTTGGATATTGTTTAAGTCTATCTTGATAATATTTAGTTTAAATATTTAAACTTGAATATTTGATATTGAAATAAGATTTTGCAAATATATACTTTTAAAACTTCAAAATCCATATGTACATAACAAATTTATTTTTAAATTAAATTAAATATAAAATGAAAAAAGTTTCAAAACTTTAACACAAACTGTATTTTTTTGACATGAATGCTCCAAAATTTATTAAAAAAAATCACTTTTTTAAAAGATTTAAATTTATTAATTTATAAATAATAAGCAAACTCCTCTGTCATCGGACTGGAATTTGCCATTTTCTACTAAAAATCATTCACAATAGGGCAGCTTTAAGATCAGCTTGTAATGTGAGTGGCGTATTCATTAAGCTGTTTCAGGAAAAATGGGCTTATTTTTGCGAATTTTGTTTCAACTTTACATGTTAATTTTTAAACGACACATGTAGTATTAAAGCATTTATGTCAATAAAATACCCCTACAGCTGTTTTACTGTCTTTACACGAAGCTATTTTGTGAAAGAGTATATTATGACATATTATTTGCCGTATATTAGTTTATATATTACTTCAGCTTAACTATGAGTACATAGTTAAATTAGTCTAAGTGTAAACATAATATTAGGTGATTTCGGCAGCTTTTAAGTGTTGCAAAAAACAGCAAGTTAATCCCTTAAAGTTGCTAATTTGTACACAAAACAACAACACTACTTCCTCTATCTAAGACCTTAGTTATGATGTGGCCAAACATTTTAGCGATATCAGAAAAAAATGTTATTTTAGCGATAACCGAACTATTGTGAACAGTCAACTGTCAAAAGTTTTTAAAAAATTAAAATTCAAATAAAGTTAAAAATTTTAAAAATGTGGAAGTAAAATATTTTAAAATTACGCAAAATTGTTATAAATAAATATTTTTAATAATTACATATAATTACATAATTACATATATATAACAATTTTTTGTAATACGTGATGTAAGTATAAATGAAAACCACAAATAAGCAGTAATTGTTATTGCATTCTGCTTTTATTTATTTTAATTTTAAATTTTAGTTTTAAAATTTATTTTTATGCAAAAAATAATTTGTATGCATTATGTGCACATATGCAAGATTTGCTTCTTGTGAAAATATAACATTTGACAGAATGCAACAATGATGCCAATATTTCGCTAAGAGCCGATAGTAAGCGACTTCTTACTTTTTGTCACACTTAAAATCTGCTGAAAGCAACTATTATAACATATACATAAAAATAAAAATGTTTGTATAATAAATTCGAGTGATTTACTAAACAATAATAATAAATATTTTTTTTACAGTTTACTACACTGAAAGAGTAATTCGCATAAGTAAGTATTTTGGCAGCACTGCTCCATTTGACGTTAATAAGCAACAATTGCAATTTTGAGATAAGGTAGATGAATATTGCGGTTGTTTTGTTTATATGGCGCTCTTATCTTTGTTATTATAAATAAAGCGGAAGCAATACAAATATAATTTCTTGTGAAAAATATTGTGATAGACAATAAATAAAACTAAAGCCGCAAATATTACTTTATTCTATATTTAAAATGCAATAATTTTTATGTTTATGTTAAAAACTTCAGTTTTCATAACAACGTACAAATGTGGTTGAAATACAGTTTTGTACTAAACCAAAATTTAGTTAACAGTTTTATTTGAAGTAACTGATATATGGTATTTACATGTTATTTTCAAAATAATGTTATTTATCATTAAATGATTACAATATTATTTCTCCTTTTATAACACAAATTTTTTTTTTTCACATGTATCTTAACTAAGCAAACGCAAGTGAAGTTATTGCAGTAAACTAGGCTTTATGAAGATAAAGTATATAATAACAGATTTTGAATACAAAATTTTTCTTTAAATTTTTTATAATCATTCAAGTAAGTTAAAAGATTAAATTTTTAATAAAAATTAAAATTAATGATATTAGTTTATATCAGCGATGAGTTTCTGGAAGCCTATTACTGATTTTGAAAAAGAAGTTGTGAACGCACAACCGGGTCGGAATTTCATATTTGGGTCCATAATGCCAAAAACCATTTCAAAGCAACATGAAATTCAGGGGAAGAAACCATCTTTGAGTTTGTACGATAAGCAAACACAAAAACTAGCTGCTATTACAGCTACTGAAAAAATGACAAAACTAAAGCCTTTGGGTGAAAGATGCAGATTAGACGATTGGAATAATGATGATAATGTAGAAAAGGAAATAAAATGTATGGTACAACATGTTAAAGAAGCTGAAAGAAAAAAAAATGTTGCAGCTCAAACCAAAAATAAAACAAAATCATTCAATGATTTCAAAACACCCGAAACGTCTCACCTTTCTTCTAAATCTTCTGTCAGTGGTGCAATAAACAAAAATATTCAAAATAAGAAAGAAGGCGTTTCTGGAAAATTATATACTTTTCTGGATGACGACTATTTCAAGTTTCGTGCTCCGATACCTTCTATTACTACTATAAACTTGGACAAATCCAAGCCATCTGGTGACAATAAATTGCGTGATGTGTCAGAAGAACACGTTTAGAGTGGTAATAAGAACGATGAGAGCTAAAAGGGTAAATGCAATGATATATCAAATACCAGATTTACACACTGAAGACAAAAATGCTATAATCCTGCCTCTTTTACATCAGAAGTGAGAATATAAAATGAAATATATTTCAAATTTAAATAAAAATTATTTTTTTAAAATGTACAAAATGAAAATATGAAATCATATGATGTGTTAAATAATTAATATAGTTAAATATACACTGTTGTCTTATTTTGCTAATTTTATAATAAAAAATGTTTAAAAACATGAATAATTTATTTTTATTTATTTAAATGGTTTATTAATTATTTAAGCAATCCTAAAAACTATATTATTTAAGTTATTAAATTTGTTCATTTATTTTATGTTGCAACGACAATATTATAGCTTTAACTATAGTTAGAAAATGTAATAAAATAACTGATATATCTCACTGATGAACATTGTATATCACGAAGTTGTGCTCTTCTAAGTTCCTGGATATAGGAATATTGAAGGGAACGACATAGCAGTCAATTTGTACGGATGAAGTTCTGAAATATACAAAACTTAGACTGAATCATCGATAAAAACTCCAATGTGTAAACTGTTTGGAATATAGATAAATTTATTATTCACTTTGAGATTGATAGAACCTTATCGCCCAAGTTACACTAGAATAAATAAAAAAAAACTGTTTTGCGTTGAGCAAGTATACAATTCATATAGTTATAATTGCTCCAATGAAAATGAGATATAATCCATTATATAATATCTCTGTCTTTGTCCTGGACAACAGATAAAGTGACTTTAACGGTCTGACATTGAAGCAAAACTAAACTTGCTGGATACACTTAGCTTTATCTAGAAAAGCAAATGGTTTAAAAAGAACAATACCAGAACATATTAACGGTCTGCATTTGCTGTCTTAACCTAACTGCAATTATCTCTGGATGCGTTAATGTGATATATGCATTATATCTCATAGATATAATTTTATTAATTTTGTATGGATATTGAGACTAATTTTGTTTTTTATTCTGTAAAATAATTTAAAGTTAAGTGGTAAATATGCTAAACATTATATATTTTTATATGCACTGTTTGAACTTTTATGTATGTATATACAAGCACAACAAATATATATATATATAGAAATATATTCGTGTGTGTTCTTCCTACACGAATAACAAAATCCACATAAGCCTCCACTTCTAGGCTTAACGTTTTTTAAAACCTTTCGTTTGTCTCAAATACTTTTCCACGGTTGGATGAACTAAAACGTTTGTCTGGTTGTCCTCAAAAAAGCAGTTTACTAATTGAACAAATTTCACATCAAAGGGAATTCTGCTAAAAAATTTTTATTTAACTTAGTTATAAAAAAACAAATTAGTAAACAATGTACAATATACACAGGAATAAATACAATATTATTTAGAAAAATTTTAAATCAACTTAAAAAAGTATCATACTTTAAATATCACGAGTAAGTACATATCTCTCTTTAATTCAATAAAAAGAATTGAAAAACCACCGCTATCAATAATGGTTCATTATATATTGACCATTAATAATTGTTATTATTTTCTGAAAAAGTAGACTTACATTTCCATCTATTTCTACCGACTCACAGATACTATAGTAATTGTTGAAAGAAGCTCGTAAGTGGTTGGCAACCCAAGAGACAATGTTCTGCCAGTGGGATTATTGTGTTCGATCGTAAGAGCCGAGTAAGATTAATCTGTTGGTTTATGATTTCCTGATTGCAGAGAGTCATTTCATCCGTATAGTCTTGCAAAGAAGCTTGATTTCTGTTTGTTGATTAAATTAGTTTATAAATGATTTAGACAAATATGCGAAAAATAAATTCGATGAACTGTCTTCCTTACTGTAGTTTCTTTAAATCATTGTTAAATATATTATATATTAACTTCGTTAATATATATTGGTTGCTAACCACTATATTTTCGAAGTTGTCAACACGTAGTTAGGAGTGGCTTCAGTTTAAGAAATTAATCGAAAGGTCACATTTATAGATATTTATAATCATTATTATTATATTATAATAATATATGTATTATAACTGTTTTTTTTTTGAAATTCCTGAAATCATTCGAAAGCCTATCCCGGGATGTAAATTTTTGACCGCGAGTCTGTGTCCAGAATTTCATCTCACTTGTTTTCATCATAACTAACAACTATGTTGTCAAACTTAACATCACACGAAGCATTACTATTGTCAATTGGTGCCACTATTTGCCCAGGAAGCAATGAGAAGATAGATAAATGAAGCAACACTAAGAGTTTCTGAGAGACCCTTATTCTTCATAAAATCTTTGATCCTCTACGAGTTGACGAATGATAACAAGACACTGACTTCATGTAGAAAATTAACATCATATGAGAATGGGTATTGTTGTGAGAATGGCTGGCGACGTTGAATCGAAAAAGACATTTGAAATAACAGCTGAAGGAAGAAAACTTAAGGGAAGACCATGTCTCCAGTCAAGTGATGAAATCGTTGAATCATTAACCGCAATTTATTTATAAGTTTAGAGAAGACCAGTACGCAACAAGGTCGCATATAATGGAGTACTAGATTATGTCGGAGCAGGATAATGTGTTGTTATTGCAAAATAAGTAACTTATATGCATATTGTTACGGTAAGAGTGGAAGAAGCTTAGTATAGTATAAGAACAAATACTTAGGGTCTGGTTTATTAAAAAACACGGACTTAAAATTGAAAATCCGGTCTGAGTGATATGTACAAAAATCTGTATTAAAAAAAGTGAAATGATCGGATAAGAACTGGCAGTGAAATAGTTGAAAAAAAAATTTAAAGAATGAAGGAAAATTGTAAGAAAGGTAAAGGCTGTACTTGAATTGTAACGTCAGTGAAAAAGACAACATTTTTATGTTAATTAGATCATTTTTCTTCTACTTTAGACTGAAAGTAATATATTTTTTAATACCTATGAGAGAAATATTAAAGCTTTTATTTAATATTAATTTTTAAACATCCCACAACGTTGTGACTCTTCCAAGTCACTTACATTAAACTACTTAACCCAATAATGTTACGAAACACTTAATGAAATAATCTATTATGAATGAAACTTTATTCATTTAATGAAACTTTTTTAGATAATATCAAAATCAATTACACAACTTACAAGTGGAATAAAGCTAAGAATTATGCTTTAATATCGTCGAATACATAAATTCTGTCTTTTTTCCTAATTTCTACTCCAAGCAGTTATTTTCTTCTATTGACATAAGTTTTCTGTTTTTCTTTTTTTTGGCAAGTAACTTTCCTGCTTATCCTTCAATATCCTTGCAACTTTGCCGGTTGGCGCTAAAGAAACTATTTTCGGTATATCAAGGCTTCACAACAACGTTTTGCCAACTCGAATTCAAATTTGTGAATATCCTTTGTGACATTTCAACTTTAGCCACTGTTTGCTATACGGGCACTTAAAGGATACAATCGTACAAAACGGGCTACATTCGAAGTCGAAGAAATACTCGTAATGCGAAACTTATAAATGCCAAATTTTACGTTCAATTGAATAAAATGAAAATCATTGCCAATAGGTGGAAGGTGGAAGGCAGTAGTCAGTGGAACTGAAAAAGTCTCAATGTGGATAAATTTAAAGTTTCCATTGATTTTACGAATTTGCGAATTACATTCTTAAAGGATAAACACTACATTTTGATGCTGCCTCTTGCTTTTCCTTGCCAACCCCAAACACTTTTTATACTCACTGATAATTTACTTGATAAAGGTTTTGTTTTTTATGCATATGCCTAGACCGTACCGTCTGTGCCTGCAGAAATGTGTTACCCCAAAAAATGCCATGTTTTGAGTGAGTGAATCTTAAGTTCATAATAAGAAGTCATATATTGTCAAGAAAAAAAGGCTAACAAATGGTAGGAATGACTTTAGCCTCAATTACATTTAAACCATTTATCCTTTTAAGTTAAACTTCCATTCGCAAGTTAATTTTTTGCTGACATTTTGTATTTTATGTTGGAATCATTGTGACGAGGGTCTAATTGTTGAAGGAGCAACAAATAGATGAGATACTTTACGACTTAGTTTTCTGATAGCATTAACGCAATTTTCGTAAATTGTACCTTCATATATTATTAAAGCCCTTTCGCTCCATACATACTTTTGGGGAACTTAATTTATTTACATATTCGTGTAAGTAGTAAATCTGGATACATGAAAAATAATAAACGAATACTATAACAAAAACTAAAATCAAAACTTTATGAACTCTACAAATATTTCAGTTTGAAATGGCAGAGTATCAAACGGAGTAACGGATCACAATAAGTGTTCTTCTAACCTGCATTGTGAAGGAATATCTGAACTGGTCGTTGTACATAGCTCAACAGGTTTCGTTACTGAGAATGTGAAGAGTTTTTCGTCCATAAGCATCTATGACCCAAAGAGTCAAAGAGATTAGGAAGTTCTAGGAAGAGATAATGATATATCTTTGGTATGTCCTCGAGGTTCATTAATTCATAGGCTTTCATGGTGAAATATCTTAATCTTTTCAGATCTGACCATTTGACGTCCGATAGATATTCTTATAGGAAATGCAATAGAAACACAAATAAAAGACTCACCTCGTTGAATAATATACAGTGCAGACAATATTAGTTACTTTTTGATCACACCCTATATAGTTTTTATAAAGTAAACCTAATTATAGTTTTTTTTTTGTACAGTGTGAGAATTTAACCAACTAAAATCACTTCTTAGGAATAAATGGAGAAGATTTCCACGGTAATGTGGAAACTTTATTCGAGTAATCATGGAAGAGAGACAAGAGCAGAAGGCTTACTGCCTAGGGGACTAGGTTTATCTAAGCCAGAAAACATAAGCATGGCGTGGCAAAGCACACGGTAATGTGGTAATTTTATTCTAGTAATCATGGAAGAGAGACAAGAGCAGAAGGCTTATTACCGAGGGTTTAGATTTATCTAAGCCAGAAAGCATAAGTACAATATAGTGCAAAAAAAAAATCTCGCCTCGAGGAATAATATTCCGAGTGCTCAATTTAAAACTTTACTCACTTTTTGATCACACCCTGTATAATGCTCATACATAAGTATATAAACCTCCTAATTATTGTATATTTTACACTATAACTATATGCTTGCTTTACTATTTAATATTAT